CATCATGTCAAGCTGACATAATGTTCACGGATATAAGTGAACTCCATGTGATTATTGATGAGTCATTCACTCCATATCCCAAAGAACATCTGTCTTTAACTAGTTGCTACAACATTACACACAGTGTCAGTATCACTTACACTTTGAAACTTGTTTTGATGAGCATAATAGTGGTTTTCTGTCTAACACAGATGAAACACCTGACCTGCCTTAAGTTTTGCTCTTTTTTTATCTCAGTTTTAAAAAGCTTGGAAACCCTAAATAATCTACGTACCCAAATGTTTCCAGTATTTTCTTTTTCAAAAAGTCCCTCAGGTTTATGTTGTGAGTTGTGAAGGAGTCTTGCAGGAATTATGCAGGTATTGTGCCTGACAATGAATTGTTCTACAGGAGGTTTTTGTGTGTCGCTGTTATATTTGTTTCATTCCTATCTGACTGTCTAAGTGGTCCGTGCCTGTCTCTGTCAGGTCACCGCTGATGTTGAGCTAAACAGAGCTCGACATCAGATCTGAGAATATGCACCCAGGGACCTGTGTGGGTTATTCAGGTCTGACAGGTAAATGTGTCGGTGAGCTGCAGACTTTGCTCCTCAGCCGACTCGCGGCCTTGTCGCCTTGTCACATCGGACACGTTGAAAGGGCCACAGTTCGCCGCCGCCGCTGCCACTCCGTTTGTTGTTTTAGGCTCAACTGTGCTGAGTCCCAGGCCTGTGTCCACCTTCTCCCTCTGCCTCAGTTTATTTGACTTCTCCCAGGTTTAAATTGATTGTAGATACTCTGCTTTCTTATGAGTTTAGTTTTCAAACAGGGTTGGTGCAGGCTTTGGCAAATGTTGAAAGTTTTTTTTAACCCCCCCCAGCTTCATTGCGCTGCTAGGTTTCTGGGTTATACAGGGTCCAGATTTAGCTGTGCATCAGTACCTGCCCAATTTAATGTTAACTGAAATATACTGTCTGAATTCTATAATGTTGAACAGAGGGGGATATTTTGTTTGATCTTTTGTTAATCATGTAAATGCACAATTTCCTTTGGCTTCTTTGATTTTGGACTTTGATGAAATGGTCCTGTTGGGAGTGGACAGCTAGAATGGCAGCGTTTAAGAAAGGACTTTTTGTTTGTGAAGGGGACTCTCTAGGGGGAATGGCACCCTAATGAGGTACTTGAAACGCTCTTGGGCTCCATGAAGGGACATTATTCACCATGGGGACCATGGAAGGGGTGTGTCTTTGAACAAGCTCTAGGCGGAGTGTGGTGAGTGCTACCACACAAATGTAAATCCTGAGGAGAAAAGATGCAAATGAATGTCAATCAAGTTAACGTTTGGGGATTCACATTTCCTTCTTTAAATATGAAATACTTGTTACTGAGTACAACTTAAATCCTCCACATGGTGCTGGATTTGTTTGGAAAGTATCCTTGAGAGCAGCTACAACTATGTCTAGAAAGCATGCCATCCACAGTCATCCACATTTTGTCATTTCAATAATCTTTACAAGATTTTGATCAGCATTTGGGTCTAATCTCATCAAAATAAATTTAGTGATGGACTACCATGATTTTTAGATTATCTACATACTAGGAAAGGATCGACCTTGCAAACGTTTAACTGAGACAGAGTTATGGCCCTTCTAATTCCTTTTGTTGCACTGCAGTGCAAGATGCAGGATCTCTCTTGTGATAGTAATAATAGTGTTCATTGGTCACCAACATTTTGTTGCAATGGCACAATGCTTTCAAAAATTATGGTAATTTATGTCAAATAGGCTATGGCTTTTATGTGTGTTATGTTTGAGTGTGTAATATATGAGATCTGGTGAAGACTGGGTGACATTTATAACCGTTAGTGGAAAATCTTTACAGACAGAAACAGATTGGTGTTGGACCAAGTGTTTTGTTTCTACAGTGTGCAGTTCAGGAGTTATACTGGGTGCATACATGACGCAAGGGGCTAACAGCAGTCCGCAGACTTCCTCTGGCTGAGGAGGCTAACTTCTTTTTCTTGACCCTCGAGAAACTTTGGCAAAGAACAAGAGATGACAAACTTTAGAGAAACAAAATGATGATGTCCTTTTAACACAGGTGTCCTTTTATGGGAGTTCATTTTGCGGTGGTGGAAAACATCATAGTGTAACAAAGCACATACAATACACAAACGTTGTGAAAGAAACCATCTTCTGTGAGTGAAGACATCTGATTGTGCCATGACGAGTAGACGTCCACGCACTCCCAAACTAACTTTTCCAGTTCATCCCAGAGCTCAGTGATATCTTTGGCTGGCTTCTCCCTTCCTACTCGCCTCTCTGGAGAGCATTGGCCCCCGGTCCCCCACCTCCTCGCTTCCTCCCCCAGCTCCACTCCCCGCTGATGAAGATTTAAACACTGGTCTATTTCATATATTATTGCCACACTGTGCTCTGTAAATCACCAGGATAGGAGACCACATCAAACAGGCCCAGGCAAAGGAATGAAGGGATGGAGGGATGAAGGGATCAGAAGGCGAGCAGGAGGAGGGATGACCAGCTGTGTCAGGGCTGACAAGAAGAAGACTCGGATCAGTGACAGCTGAGAATATGGGCTTAGTGGAGCCATAAATTACGGCGCGGGGCTTAATTGGTGCTGATGAAGACGAGGAAATGTGTCTGGAGTTTAGTGTGTGAGAGAGTGGGATTTCAGAAAGCATAAAACTGTTTTTTAGCAATTAGGAAATGCAAACAGTGGTTTGATGGCCCTTGGCTGTTCTGCTCAGCCTGAGGATCATGCTCAGTCACAGACACCAGAGAAACCACAGGTCCTCGATTACAAGTCTCCTTGCTGTCTCCTGAGGTTGTTCTCAGCTGTGATTATGGGTGTCACAATGATGCGGTAGATTAAAGTTGTCAGCACAGTCCACACAATCACAATTCATCCTTTAGGGAATTACAGATTTTACACAACAGGGGTTACACCACTTTCTTATTTGAACTTGTTATGTGCCTGGGGTTCCTGCTTTGTCTTATTTATAGATTTTCCTTTTTATAAATACAGTTTGTTCTTCCGTACCTCTTACCTACAATTATAAGAAATATATTATTCTTTCCTTCACCCAGTTACAGTACGATGCAGCTCATCAGCAGAGCAACTGCCCCCTCGCTACACTCCAGCAGTTTACTTGTCAGATATCATGTTTTTACATGTGAAACTCATGTTTTAATGCCTGGTGTAAAAATATCAGATTTCAGATTGCATCCTACTCATAGTTCAGTTATAAAATCATCAGTGCACCACGGAACACCTCTCATGCCAGGTGCTGTAAGCCAAAGTACTGATCACACTGGACGGCAGTAGAGGAGGTTGTACCAGCGTCTGGTTTAAAACTGGTTCAGCAAACTTCCACTAACATTCAGAGAACCCTGCTCTCAATTTCCATCACAGTACATTCTGTAGCTTCTGTAAGTTTATAGACTGCCATACTGTTACCCTGAGTTGCTCTGTGTACAATGACACAGCGAAAAAAAAGTGCAGTGATTTGACTGACAAAACAAGGCCCAACTTGGGGGCTTCTTGACTGATGATATTTCTCTTGATAAGTAAAAACTACAAAATGTCAGTAGGTCTCATTCTCTGGGGACCATGAATATATGTACAGAATTTGATTGAAATCCATCCTAAAGTGGCTGACATATTTCAGCCTGGACCAAACTATTGGACCGACCAACAGGACAATACACTGACATTGCTATCTATACAGCCATGCTGCTAGCATTGTTAAAAATGAAGTTTGTCTTTATATCCCATACATAGTCCAAGCAGGAAGGGCAAAATAAAATGAATGTGATGTGATAGCAGAATCATGCATCAACACAATACTTGTATTGCTGTTTTTGCTGTAATACGTGTCTCGGCCAAACCGGATGGCTTAAAACATTCTAAAAACATTGTGGACGACACTGTAGCTTAATGCTAGCAGGGAACTATAGACTAAGCTATCTTAACTTACTAATTAACTTAACTCATAAAAAAGGTTAAAAAAGGTTTGTCTTGTACCTTCAGTTTTGCATGACGTGCATCTTGGTACCCCACAGTTAGATATAGCCTAGCCTACATACAGTATATACATGTATACATGCTGTATCTGTGTTTTACTTTCCCACACCAAGTTTTACTTAATGCAAGCAGAGCAACATTATCATTCATTTGGAGAAGTCCAATAGTTACTCTCTTTTAGCTCTGTTTTGGGTCTCTACCAACTCCTGAGGGAAACATCTGACTCCACTATGTTCACCAGCTAGTCTTCACATCTGTGTGTCTGCGGTTTGCTGCTGGGCAGGTAGTGTACAGTTGGTTTTTAGAGCTTTTTCACTGAAAGCAACTGCCTGCTGCACCCAAAAGTGATGCTATGAGAGCAGCATTGTGGGCGTAACAGTTAAACAAGCTAAAACTTTCCATAAAGCTCCATAAGGGTGAGTGGAGCTGCAGATTCAGGTGATAATTCAGTGGAAGCCACAATGTCTATAAGATTATGTAGATACATCACAGTAGAGAAAATGTGCTAAAACACTATTTTTCATCTTCTTACTATGAGTGATGGGTTCCCACATGAACAAACTATTTCTTGCCAAAGTTACAAGAGTTTTGGTTGAGATTTTTGTGTTTCGTTTTTTCTCTGTTAGCTTCTTACTAGTTTTGATGTTGGTGGGCTGATTAAGAAAGTGATTTCTTGCATTTCCCTGCACCAATCAGGAGTTAGCAACATTAGAAGTTGGTGGGTTGTTTGGTCACTGTCAGTCAAATGTGATTTAACAATACCCACAGTACTGATGAAGCAGGGTATTCAAGTTTTTTAAATAACTCATAACTAAAGATGTTTTGTTTGTTTGGGTTTTTTTTTTTACCTCTGAGTGTTGCTTATTTAGACATGAATATTTAATTCATAGAGAAATACATTGATAGTTTAAATACTTTTCAGTAGTTTCACAACTTTAAAAAGTCATTAAAGTTCCTCTGACTCTGTCTTCTCCACAGACGGGATGAACTGCATGAACAAGGACCACGGCTGCGCCCACATCTGCAGAGAGGCTCCAGGCAAAGGCGGGGTATCGTGCGAGTGCCGTCCTGGCTTTGAGCTGGCCAAAAACCAGAAAGACTGTACATGTACGTATCACACCTGACCTCAGCACTACCCCACAACTGCAGGAAGTGACTGCGTTTCCAGGCCTAGAAGTTTTTAACCGGTTGTGAAACAGTTTCAATTTAATACTGATGCCTCTATATAATTAGCGAAAAGATTGGCTATTGCTGTATAGTCATTCTTAATGACTGACACTGGGTCATATTCAGTCTGATCCCGATTGAAATCAATGAAACGAGGTGGTAGAAACACTACCGCTTTTGTCCACAGGGGCTGCCAGAATCAACACATAATGAATTTTCCCGACAGGGGCTTTAAACCAGCAGCTCACAAACATCGGATGTCTTATAACCGTACATACAATCAAATGCACTTTTTTCACAATGCTTTCCGTCATCTGTTAATCTTTAATCAATTGACTTATCACTTTATTTTACAATTCACATGACAGCAAGGTATTAACACTTTGTTTCATAGACTTGATTTTATTGAGGTTACATACTGGTGCGATGAAGGATCTTAACTGTTCCTGTAATAAACATCTGTAATAGCAATGATGGACAAGTTCCAGTAGGCCTTCAGCGGTAAAATATGGGGGTAGACATTTAATACCAAAATCAGTTAAGCGTTTCAGGCCAAGCTGAAGGTGCTGAAGGATTCAGTAGAGAGAATTCATGTCTCTAACCACCCCCCCACCCTCGCCACTCCATCCCTGTTCCTCGCTCTTCACGCCGAGTGCCTGCAGCCATGGAATTTAGGGCTGTTGTTTTTGAGGGGGGAAAAATAAGCTTTTAGTTACACTTTGTTTGGCAACACATCTTGTTCTCCTCTCAGACGTTAAGAGTGTAAAGATTGTGAAAGCCTCTGAAAGGCTCTAATGAGTCCCCTGCTGTGGTAATATTTCATTAGTGGCGAGGGAGCCAGTGCTGTGCCGGCCTGTTGAGCATGGCGGCACAGGACGGTAGTAAATGAGTGATGAAAGAAATGATAGTTATGTCTAAAACGCCTCCACACACTGTCACACATACTTCTCTCTCTGCCTCATCCTTTCTCCTTTTTCTTTCTTTTCTACCATCTTCTCTTCCCCTTCTTTTTTTCTCCTCAGAGTCATCAGAAGATCCAAAAGTGGTCCAGGCTAGGGAACTGCAAAATTTAGGAAAGAACTCTTAAAGAGTTCACAAAGTATATTCGTTCTTGCTTTCCTTTTTTACCCAAAGAACTGTGAAGATTAAAAAAATTCACAAATCATATCTGTTTATTATGGCAAACTCCATCACAAGAGTTTGTGGTCTAACAAAAAATACTACTTAGCTGGCTGTTTTCGGGCCAAGGAGGTAAAGTTGAAACCTGGTTTCTCTGGTGGATAAGGGCTTCTGAGTTCTCAAAAAGTCTCCAAGAAAAGTCCTGGGGTGAAACCTCGTTACGATCTCTTCTGTTCTTTGTCAAGAAAGAATTTAGAAAAAGAAACCTTTCCCACTTGTAGTCTCCCTTTACACTTAAGGCCAGTTTTCCAAGAAGTCAGGAACCCTTTTAAGAACTTCGGAACTTAAGCTTTCAAACACACAAACCTAGTCCCAGTTTACGTGGCTTTGTGGTTTTTATGTAATTATGGTGACGAAGGTTCTCCAACCTTAATAAAGTAGTAATTTTCAACCAAACCATGATCCCAGAAATCTGTTATCCAATTTGCGGATATCTGCTGGCTGGACTGGAAGCCCAGAAACATTACCTTTGCCCCCAGCGGCTAAATTCTCAAAAGACAATTTTGCCAGTTCCAAGATTGTTCTTACAGTGACAACAAAGGTCACCTGAAGGTCTCCTACTCCTTTCTTGCACGCAGCAACTCATAAAACATGAAATATTTCTCAGGCAGTTTTATTTTTTGAGTATGACTAAACATTACATACTTATTATTGCTAAATGCTGAGCCCTGCACTTGCAAAACAACACCAGGGATACCTACAGCGTCATAGTTTGAAGCATAGGGCCACTGACCAAGCTGTTGCATTTCGTCACCCTGTTCAAATAATCGCCTAACTCATTTTTTCAGGAAACACAAAAAAC